GTCCTCCTCCACCAAGCCCTGAGCCATGGGATGGCGGCGTCAGCGGGACGCGAGCGATCAACCAGTTCACGTAGAACGAGGTGTAGCCGGTAGACGCATAGAGTTGTGCATTTTCTCACGACCAAAATGACCACTGAATGGCGTGTCGTGAGTCTCATACAGGATGCGGTGTTTTAAATCCTCATCATGAGGAACCACAATTCGTGGTGTATCCGATGAATCGGTGCTATAGTACAGTAACCCGTTACTCAACGAATATCGGTGCAATCGTGTACGCAGTCTTTGTGACAATTTCTTGTCCGAGTTTTCAAACTTTTTGCTCTCTAGAGCCCTTAGCAACGCTACACACATCTCATCATCCGCATACGCGGTGCGGGTCAAATCTGTCACAAACGACGTTTCAGTTGTAACATGAGCAACTCATAGTCTGGTCTGCGTAACAACGCGTAAGCCAAATCATTATGCTTTCCCGCTAATACTTCACCTCAAAGTTATAATTCGCAAAGAAGGATAGCCGTTTAGTTATCCTTTCAAGAGGTGGGGCGACTGAGTCGCAGTGCGTAACGACGCATGATCTGTGTAGAATACAAACGGACTGGAGCCGAGCAGGTGGACCCTGAACTTGACAGGTGCATACTTCAGCTTCATCGCAAGTAGCTCCTTGTTATGAGCTGGGTAGTTCTTTTCTGCAGCTTTGAGCTGCCGATATTCGAACGCGATCACCCGATCTCATCCCTTGGCGTCTGCTTGCAGCAGTGCACAGCCGATGGCGAAGTCCGAAGCTTCACAGACGACGCTGAAAGGATGAACAGGGTCTGACAGCGCCAGTATTGATGCATGCAGGAGGCTGTCTTTGACCCCGTCAAAGCGTCCTGATGTTCGGTGTTCCAACACCATTTGGCATCCTTTTGAGGAGATTGAATAATGGCCGGGTCATTTCTGCGTAATTTACGCTGTACTTATGTAGATAATTGGCAAGACCAAGCCATGTCCTTTTGGTTCTTCGGAACCGGCCAATCTACAATGGCCTTGACCTTAGCGGGATTCACTCGAAGGCCACGCTTCTTAATGAAGCATCCTAAAAAGGGAATCTCTTCTGTGCCAAAGATGTACTTTTCAGCATTGGCATACAGTTTGTTCGTGCGCATGCACTCGAGTACCGCTCTTAGATGGACGATGTGATTCTCCTCAACCGTCCTCCCGGGCTCCGCACGACTGTGAGCGAAAATTTCGTCAAATAATGTCTGTGCATACGCTCTGGGTGGCCTGAACAACTGCGTCACAGACGATTACGTGTTGCTGGTGCATTTGACAGCCCTTGCGGCATCACCAGCCACCCCTAGAGCATGCCGCTCGGATTGCTTATCACTGTTAGCGGAATGTCACTCGTTCTCATGAGGAATTGGTAGTATCCATCTACCAAATTGAGTGTGTTGTACTTCGAACATCCCACCACGTTGCTCTGAAAAACATCCTTTTGTTAAAAATTAGCGTTTGTGCCGGAATGGTGGCAACGTTGAGCAAACTGTAAGCATGAACGTTACGCCACTTGCCGTTCGGCTTCCGAACACAAACCTTGGGTGTCGAATGGGGAGACTTTCTCACACGCACCATCTCTGCTTCGTGCTTCGCACGGAAAAGGCGTCAATGACGTCGCACCGCTCCTTGGGCAGGGGCCATTGGCGTGTTACGCAGTATTTGGTACCCAGAATCTGGTCGATCTCATGACGCACACCTACCGAAGGCGGGTCTTGGAGACGACGTCTTGAAATTCATTTCCCAAAGGATAGTACGTATCCAAGGGTTTCCGTAGGATCTATGATCCACTCCGTGCGTTCGGCACTCGCTTGGTGTCCTTCAAGACACCTTCATCCAGAAGCGAGGACGATTTTATCTCCTCGTCCAGTCGTACAATGTCCGCTTCGGCCAAATCGCCTGCCTTCAAGGCACTGCCGAACTCTTCAAGGGACATCTTGTCCCGCTCAAGAAAAGCGTCAACTGCAGGCATAGCCTCGAGGCAGACGTCTCCATCTTCCTCCACCGTCATACCGTTGACGAGGGTGTATAACTGTGTACCTTCGTCTACGGTAGACACACCCTGGATCAGAGTCGTCGCCCGGCGTCTTGCAGCCAGCATACGGCGTCGCCGTCGCCTCTG